TAGTAGCTAGAGGGAGCAGAGGTGAGGTCAAGGAGATGACAGACATCTGTGGGACAGAGAGCAGTAGGAGGAGGATGAAGTCAGCAGTGGGTGTAGGATCAGAGAGGGGTCATGAGTGGCCAGGTTAGTGAGGCACTTGGCTTGGCAGGCAGGGTGTGGCCTTGATCTCAGCAACAGGACATCTTCAAAGGATGTTCCCCAGGTCAGGGGAGAGTCCATCGGACAATTGGAGAACTTGAGCATCTCGGGGTGGCAAGGGGATTTATCAAAGGGGGTTAGCAGAATGGTGGCAAGGTCAGCAAAGACAGAGAGGAGGAGCTCCTCACCCAAATTCTCCTTGAGTAGCCAGGTGAGCACAGAGTCCCTGTAAGGGATAAAATCCGACTTCCGCTTCTTTGATTGCTGGGGGACAGAAGAGGGGAGGGGGTCAGGGTGGGCCATCCCCAGTGTCCCCTCACCCAGAGCCCCTTCTCTTCCCACCCCAGGTCTTACCATATCCGCAAGGGCAGAGATCACCTTCCCTAGAGTAGTCAGGGACTTATTTATATTGGCACCTTCCTGAAAAGCGATAAGGAATGTGAGGAATGAGGCCCTACTCTCGCACTCCAACCCACTTCCCCATCCTCCTCCCCGCAACCAGAGTCCCAGGTTAGGATGAGAGACCACTGCACACAGCCCCCAACACTACCCCTGTCCGCCCCTCCTAAGCCTCCTCACCTTCAGGCGCATGCCCCGGGCTCCTGAGGAGTCAGCCCGCTCACTCCCAGCAAGGTCCACCAAACTGATCTTACTAACCTGAGTCAGAGGAAAGAGGTAGAGGTGACTGGGTCAGTGGGGTGGGGCAGGCAAATCAGCAGAACACCCAGCAAGGGAACTGGGCTGTTGGCAAGGGATGGAAAAATGCAGGAGGGGATGAGGGAACAGGACAGGAGGAAATGAAATTTATTAAGACAATAATAAGGGACTGGTTATTCATCCATTTGTGCATTTATTTTGTTTATAGGTATTTACTTGCCCACTGTGTGCCAGAACAAGGTACAGTGGAATCCAAGCCCTGCCCCGAGAAGTCTAGTAAGAAGGACAAACAAGCAAATGGGAGATTGTACCCTATGATCTGCGAGGGGAAGGACAGAGACCTTTGGAAGCCTGGAGAAGGCACTCAGACCCAGCGTGGGCAGGGAGGAGGACACAAGGCCATTTCATGTTACTAGGTAGGGACAGTGGGGGGGAGGGTCCCCACCTTCTCTGAGTCCAGCCCAGTGAGCTGGTCATGGCAACGCTGTGTGAAGACAATGGTGAAGACGGCATGGGAACGGCTGCTGGTCTCATTCATATTGGTGGCAGCCACAGTCCTGGGGGAAAGGGAGTGGTCACTGGATCCCACCTCTCACCGTTCTAAGCCTGGCTCCCTTTCCCTCCACTCCACCGGCCCACCTCACCTCGCCTTATTGCCACAGTCCATGAGATCAGCAATGTCTGCATAGGAGGTCACAGCCAATTTAGACAAGTCCTGCACATAGGGGCCCAGGATGGGGTGCTCCCGGACCCGCAGAGCGCCCCGACTCTTGGGGTTCAAGAGGTCGCGTACCCGTTCACAATAGATCTCCATATAGCTCACCTAAGTGGAAGAAGAAAATAAGAAATAACAGTACGGTGATTACCAGAAGTAGAGGGGAGTGGGCAGAGGCAGAAGAGCGTATGGGGAGATAAATGGTGAAGGAAGACTTGACTTGCAGTGGTAAACACACAACACAACATACAGATGATATATAGGGTGTCCCAAGGGTAAATGGCCTCCATGGCTTTGCTGGCACATACGCAAAGCCGTGGTCTTCATTGGTCTTCATTGTCCCTGCTCCTGGGCCATAATTGGTACTTGGTAATGCTTATCAAATTGAAGGGATTGAAATCAAAGGGCAACAGATATTAGAATCTGATTCAATAAACCAAGTAAAATTAGGCTTTTATTTTTTGTTGTTGTTGTTAATGCTCACGCAAAATTCAAATCTTGCATGAATTTTGGGACACCCTATATTACAGAATCATACACCTGAAATCTATATAATTCTATTAACCAATGTCACCCCAATAAATTCAATTAAAAAAAAACACATAACAAGCAAACAAAATACTGACTATGAAACACCCTATACTCCACTGAGTATGAAACTGGTGATTTGAGCATTTACTAGGCACCAGGCATGGTGCTAAGCACTTTGCATGTGCTTACTGAACCACCCAACAACCTAGGACGGGGATCCCGCCATTATCATTTCATAGATGAACATACTCAGCAGCTGAGAGATAAAATCATTTGCTCAAAGCCACCGTTAGTAACTGGCAGGACATGAATCTCAGGCTGGCTGACTCAGAGACTGCCCTTGGTCTTAACCACTCCTCTCTCCCCCTCTCTACCCAGGATCACCACGCCCTCCCTCCTGCCCACCTAGACTCGGGCTTACCTCCACAGAATAGGAGAGCTCAGCGCTCTGGTTCTTACTAACACGAGAGAAGAGGTCTTCACAGAGCTGGAGAGGACACAGAAAAGCTGCTGTTCACAGTGCACCTGCGGCGCCCAGCATCAGTCCAGGCCCTGTCCTAAGTGGTCCAGCTGCACCCTAACTCAACCCTGAGGGAGGGGTCATTCCCGTTTTACAGATGGAAAAGCAACCTCAGAGAGGTTCACACTTGCCCGGGGTCACAGCTAGCAAACCCAGGCATCCTAACTCCAGAGCCTGTGTGCAAGGCCACTGCACTGCACAGCCAGGGAGAATTACGAGCATTTCTCAGTTATCCTCAGCTGGCTTCTGGTATACTCACCATGCTAACTACGGTACCCCAGAATACAGGGTAGGTATACTCACAGTGGCTATGAGACAAGGTAAATGTAAGTGGCAGAACCAGGGTTCAAACCAGGGCTCTCTGATGCCATAGCTTTGGCTCTCCTTACTGAGCCTTGTTGCTTCTGGAGGGTCCTGGATGTCCAGGCTGCAGCCTACCCCTACCCACCATCACATTCCCTGTCACTAAGGGCCTCAGAGAGCCAGTTCTCTGCTCCATAACCCTTAGAACCCTCGGGACAGCTGAAGATGCTTCCGCCCCGGCGGCCCTGCCAGGTCCCGGCAAGTACCTGGGGCACAATGCCCTGCTGCCCTGGCTCCTGCCGCCCCATCATGGTGTAGGATTTCCCAGCCCCGGTCTGCCCATAGGCAAAGATGCACACGTTGTAGCCTTCAAAGGCGTGGAGCAGCATCTCTTCTCCAATGTCCCGATACACCTGTTGCTGAGATGCAAACTGGGGGTCCTCAGCCTAGGTGGAAATGGAGCAGAGAAAGACAGCATGAGCCCTACATGGCTTTGTCCTTAGTGTCTAGGTCCCGGGAGGCTTGCCCCCATTGTCAGAGACTGCCCAAAGGTCCTGTGCGCTTCCCAACCCCATCACATCCTAATCATCCCTGGGGGTCCTATTCAATTTCCTGCTCCCAGTCACAACCCGTGTCCTACCCACCCCATCCCACCCAACCCCCCACAGGTGCTATTCCCCTGCAATGCCCCCGCCCAGGACCTAAATCCCCTGTCCCTTGTTGCTTAGCTCTTCCCCAGCCCAACAACCTTACCGAAGTGTGTGACCAGTAGGAGTAGTCAAAGGTGAAGCTTTTGGGGCCATCCTTGCTTTGTTTCGGATTGATGATGGCTGAGGGGGCAGCAGAGGGCAAAGGAAGGCCAAGGTCAGGTGCTCCCAACCTCTGCCCACTGCCCACAAGCCCCCGAATGCAGGCATCCTCGTACTCCCTCCTCTGTCCTAGTTCATCTCTCCCCTTTAATACTCCCCACCCCCTCCCGCACCAAAGCTAATTTTGGCCTCCTAGGACCCGCCCCCACCAGACTGCCTCCTTGGATTGGGCAATGGAGGGCTCCAGGCCAGCATTCCCCCTCCCAGGGACTGGGAGCGAGGAAAGGCCAGCCCGCCCCAACCCCCACCCTTACAACTAGCACCTGCTCTGTGCTGGGCACAGCCCTTCTCCCGGTTCAGCCCAGCAGGACTAGCCTGCGTGGTGGGCCTGGCCACCCCGCCTGTCCCCTGCCAGGCTCCTGGGACTCACTCACAGGTGGTGCTGCCCTGCATGCTGACCACACACTTGGCATCCTGGCTGGTCTCACGGGCATTGAAGGGCCGAACCCTCACTGCCACTTTCACTGAGGCACCAGTCATGGCTTCAGATACTCCCACCCTCCTCAGCTGGAGGACAGAGACACAAGAGGTGGTTAGAGCTGCTGGGGGGACCCAGACACTAACTCCCAGCTTCTCCAAGAAACCAGTCTCTCCACCCCCCTTCCAGCTACTCAACCCCCCACGAACCCAGGTCCTAGTTCCCTGGCCTTCCTCCCAAATGTCACTCTCCTCAGGGACTCCCAAAGGTATTCCTAGCCATATCCCAGCTCGCAGTTACCTGTCGTCCTGGCCCCAGACCAGGGGGGCTGTATCAGTTCTGGCTGCCACCGGCCCTCGTAGGGGGAGCCCCATCCTACACTTGGGGCCTGGCCACGCCAGCTGGGGCTGTGAGGGAAACCCTGGTTGTGGGGGAAGAGCGGTTAGGAGGCACCTGTAGCTCCAGAGGTGTGTTTGGGGTGGCATGACTGGAGAATAAGGGGTGGGGGGTAATGTCGGAAAAAGGAAGGATGGCTGTCCCTCTGGAGTGGCCGAATGCAATGTGAATCCAAGGGCAGAGATGGTGATATTTTTATTCCTCGTCACTCACAAGTGTGCTAAACGTCAGATAGAGGAGAGGCTGCACGGAAGGCAATTCTGAGAAAGGGACACATGGGCAGAGACCCTGCGGGTGTCGGGAAGGGGGAAGAGGAGGGGCAGAGAGTCGCAGATACCAAGAAAACCAGAGACACAAGAGAGAAGGCAAAATCGAGGTCATGCTATGAAGGAAATAATGGGAGGAAAAGGAAGGAGAGGCGCAGGCCAACACACACAGAAATGGGAGGACAGACAGGGAAGAGAACTCCAGGGCAAACGCACAAACGGGGAGCCCAGAAGAGAAGCAAGAGGAGAGAAAATCCTCAACACAAAACTACCCTAAAATTCCCACACAGGGTCAGGGTCGGGGTCAGCCAGGGCGAAGTGGCCGCCAGCTCCCACCAGGGCCACAACCCCCACACAGGGGCAGGGATTGCCAAAGGGCAAAGTGCAAGGGCTGGAGGTACAGTCCAGGCCTGGGATCCGCAGGGCCTGTGGCCCCAAACCCCTCGCCCAGCCCCCAGCACTTCCTCCCCAGGATCCAGGACAATGGGCAGGGGAGGGCGGGGTCATCCTGCATCCATCCAGCCCGGGCTCCGGGTGGAGGAAGCCAGGATACCTGTCTTTATGGGGAAGGGAGGGTGACCCTGGGGTCTGTCTCCCTGAAAAGGGGGAGACGGGAAAGGGGCAGGCAGGTCTCGGCCCCTGCCTGAGGCTAATGCTATGGCGTCCACTGCCCTGGGGAAGGTGCCAGACCGGAGCCCAGGAATGTGGGTGATCGGGTGCCCACACCCTGGGAGGAGAGGCTGAGCAGCCTACGCCCACGGAGACAGGGTGGAGAGTGTGGAGAGAGGGATCCGGGATGCTGGGGCCCCTCCTGGGACCCTGAAGGGCCTCAAACTGCTGTCATGTTGGCTGGGTCTCACCTCACCGGCCTCGGGGGTGGGGGTGCAGAGTGAGAGGGCTGGTGTGTCCCAGGGCAGGAAGGGAGTAGCTGACATTAGAGGCTTTCTCAGGAAGAACAGCCCTGACCCCAGACCCTGACCACACTGGGGGGGACATGCAATGGTGACGCCGAGGGGGCCAATGGAGCAGGGATCGGGATGGCACGACTCGGGGTTAGCGGGGGACAGGGCCAGGGGACAGGCAGGTCAGCCGGCGCAGCGTCAAGGAGCAGTGGGTGCAGGGAGGGGCCACGACTGGGGAGGGGGTGACCCACCCGAACCGGAGCCCAAGGACCACCTGGACCCAGCCCGCCCGGCAGATCTCACATAGGCCCGGACCCCGGCCTTCCTGGGAGGCCTTGC